CAATCCCGGCCTTTATCTCAAAACTTCAAAATGTTCATTTGTGAAAGGCATGACCTTTTGAACAAAGCAATACACCACACAAACAACTTTAAAATAGCAGCTACAATTGTAGAAATAATTTTAGCATTGCACGAATCTGTGAAGAACTAAATAAGCTTTTAATCCGAGCCCATTTTTCAAATTTGCAACATTCGTTTCATTAATGCGGGCAAACTTCAAAGCAAGATGGAAATCAAACTTCCAATGATAAAAAAGTGAATCTTTGAACCTTGATAGGAACGCATGAGCTGGTTTGACTGTAAAATTAAGATATTTTTTGGGAAAAAGAGAAATAGGTATGTTTAAAAATTGCAATTTAGTGTGCATGACATCAATTTAGTTATAATCTACAATAATCTATGACAAATGTGCTATACACTATATAGTCTATGATAAATGTGCTATACATGACATCAAACTCATTACAGAAAAGAGCTTCTATGGGTTTTCCGGTATGGATCCCATATTAATAGATCAAAGTACGAACCTCTTTCACAGCTACGGTAAAATATTTTACAAATTTACCTCCACATTTACACGATAGTTAAAGTTTGAAGGCAATATGTTACGATTCTGAATAGAGCAAAAGTGAATTTTCTTACTCTAGTTGGTACCAATTTTCACAAGGCGTTATCTACTTGCGTAAGACGTCTATAAGTTTAAGAGGCAATGTCTGTAAAAATCATCGAGTTATGGATGCACGCGGGAGGTTGCTAAGCACGAAGAAAAGCGTTAGAGAGTTGCACGACGCGGATCGGAGTGCAATACTAGCTTTTTGAGGGCTTTAAGCAACCTCCCAAGTACATCCATAACTCGATGGACGCACAGCTACTTATGATCCATTCCTTAATTATAATATAGTCTAGTCAACAAACAAGAAATGAATACAAAATATTGACTTTATTTGTTGATCATGCCCGAAATTCTAGTTACGTACCTTGCGTGAATGAAAAGCGCAAAGGCGCCAAAAACAGAAAAACAGTCGCTTTGAAAATGGCAACTTTTATACGCTGAAGCTGTTATGACTAAAATAATGGCAAAAGTTTAGCTTACAAGGGAGCCAAAAATGTTAAAAAAACTACGGAGAAAGTAATTTTCAACTGTAAGAAGTACATTTCAAATGTTGACATATCTTATGCCAAGAAAATGAACGAAAAACACACTGGCTGTCTTTGTTGTTGTTGACAATGTTCAAGTTTGTTATCGTACAGTGACTTAGCAATGGAAAGCCTCTTGTACACGGATCAAAACTAATTGACTGAACTGGATTAATTTTCTCTGGGTAGTATGCTTTGTCGGCTTTCACTCCCATGTAGAGAGGACTTCACTGCAGTTGTGAAGCTGCGAAGTAGATGGTGAGCGTGATATTTATAGTTAACTACTTTGGAAATACTTTTGTTGAATAAATACACGATAATAATATTTTTGTATTTGTTTAATTCTTGCTAAAAACCTTTGAATGTAGACACCGACCAATTTGTGGTTTGCTTTGTCTTTTTGGAGTGACGATCTGACACAATCTTGTCCAGCTTACTTACTAGTGTTTGAAAGTGGATGCAAATCTTGACGTTTTATTACTAGGCTGATCAAATGACAACTCTATACTAAATGTCGGAGATTGATGAGTATTTTCGCTAGTTTTTTCAGTCAGTTTCAGTTATCTTTTCTAGATAAATTGTCAGCAAAAAAATTTTTTTTTTCCTTTTTCGCCGAAGCAAAAAAAGGTGACGTGAACGTGCTACCCATGGGCAAATGGTTCATGCTTTTCAACCAATCAGATCGCGCGGATTTACTTGACTATATTATTGAATTACAGAGAGTCGCTGTTCTGTTGAATGATGATTTGATTTTGGGGTCGGTAAAGCAAAAGCGAACTTTCTCCTAAATTTATTTTTACTAAAAAGAAATGAGAATAATAGTTTTGGTGCGTGACCGTGATAGCAATTATAACTCAAAAGTTATAAAAGCACAACAGAGCTGACGTCTAGTGTACAAATAATTAATAGTGTTCTTATAAGTAATACCATGGCACGAGGGAAATTAGTGATTAAATTTCCCCGAATAACGAGGGAAATATATTGCGCCCTCGGGACATTTACAAATTTTCCCGAGGTATTAGGGGAAATTTAATCACTAATTTCCCGAGTGATCACCGAGGAAGTAAGGAAAAAATTGCGGTTTTAGATGTTCGGCCTAGTTCACGGAAGCGTTAACAATGAAATCGTAGACAAACTCTCATTAGCATGCATGAAATGAAAATATGGTTTATAAGTAATACCATTGCATGAGGGATATTTATAGTGATTAAATTTCCCCGAATAACGAGGGAAAATTTGTGGAATAAAACAAAAATAGAATATAAAAGTAAGTTGTCATTTTCAATATATCTTGTAACTGAGCATGCGCAGATTTGAGAACAAGTCCCACATGGAAACTGTGCAGTAATATCATAAGTGGGATACGTTGTAATCCATTCAGTTGCAGTAGCCTGTGTCACATCCGGAATTTTCTTCGTAAATTAAATGACGGTATTTACGAAGAAAATTCCGGATGTGACGCAGGCTAAGTTGCAGGGGCATTGAGTTTTTCCTGAGGGAGATGAGGCATTGTCTTCTAAATTTCCCTCATGCATAGAACATGAAGGAAATTTAGAAGACAATGAAATCCTTTGTCTTTTGCTAAATTTCCCTACATTTAAGGTGTTTCGATACAGTTTCGTGATCACCAAACAGAACTTTTTCAATCGTCGCGTTGACAATGTTCTGTTTGCTAGATCATTTTAGAAATTGTACCAGTTGTTGCTCTTGGTTTGAAGTTTGTACTAATGTACATTTTATTAAAATCAAAGTTTTCAACGCGAGAAAATCGAGAAAAATCGAAAATTGGAAAAAAAAGTGCGCGCGATTCAGATGTGATGTAGAAAAA